ACACAGCTACCCACAGCTTCAGTACTCCAGGCCATAGCCTGGGGCTGCAATTCAGGGAGCTCTCTATCACTCCTCATAGGGCTCTTGGAGTTCAGAGGAAAGACTCTTAACTAAGGCTAACTTAGAAAGACTCTAAGGCTAACTCCTTACCCGGACAGAGCCCAAATCATCTACAAAAGCTGCGCTCGTATTTTATGACCTATTTGAGCTGTTGCCAGTTGTCAGCACCTCTGAACGCACGAACCTCCTGTTGATTTCAATTCAAACTGCAGATGGTCAGCATTCCTTAAAACTTACCCCAGGACGACTCAGGAAGAAACCAGTTACTAACGCGCCTCAAACTAAGTGATTTCACTGGAAGGTTATTCCTAAGAACTCCAGCAGTAAAAGCATAAACATGGAAAACCTCAGGGATAACTTATAAACCCTAGATTACGGAACAAGAAGTTGTCACCCTTCTGCCCATTACTTCTCTATCAGGAACATTCTGAATACCTTAAGCATGTAGTTTTAAAAGTCAAAGTTTTGCTTGTGCCGCTCACCTTTTCAGTTTTGAATCTTATCAGCCCCTGCTACCAGAAAGCTGCTCTCTTTCTCTATGCAAAAAAGTTCTCTTCAAATATGCTTACATCTTCCTTTAAACCTTTCGGGTGCAGAGTGAAACAAAGCATATTGTTGTTGCACTGGGGGATTATCATTTGACAGATCCAGCAGGGGATGGTATCCACCCAAGAAGGCCTGATTTCTAACTTGAAGCTTGACAAACACTAGATGATTTGATTTGCATACCTATAAAAACAAAAGCTCATTGATGTTTTAGAAGTACAAAAGTACTTTCACTACAAAGCAGAAGGAGGACAGTTAAACACTGGCAGGCTACAACACGGGAGCAGCAGAGTCGCCGCACCTCCACCTCCGCTGCAGCTCCTGGGGGAAGCCAAACCAGAGCAGCTCTGCAGCAGCCTCGCCGGGGAGGGAGGGGCAGCAGGTGAGCCCCCTGCTGCCCTCGCCCTCGCCCTCGCCCTCGCCCTCCCAGGTGCCTCCCATCTCCCATGGTAACAGTCAGACTTCTGATGTTCACTTCACAAAGTCGAGCGCCATGCTGTGACTTCCTCAGAGTACTTAGTTTAGCAACACGATAAACCTCTGTGACAACTAATAACATGAAGGGAATAAACAATGTTGTAGTGCCCTACAATAATGTGTGACATCAGAAACTTGATAAATCCCTGGACTAAAACACAGGTGCAAAAAGATATACTTTGTGCAGAAACACAGAGGCCAGAAAAATTGGACAGATGTTGCACTGTTTATGAAGAACAATATTATATTCTTCATATATCCCTCAGGGAGGTAGGTATACACAAACACCGAAATACAGGAAACGTTGCTGAATGCAGGACAGGGTAACGCCATAGTTGGAGCCTGCTACAAATAACTAATCAAGAGGAGAAGGTGGCAAAATTGTAAAGAAAAGAAAGAGAATTAGCAGAAGACCCAGAACAAAAGACTTCTGGGAAAAAATCGATATGAAAATCAGTATCAATAAACAAAGGAAACCAATGGAGACCAACAAGGAAAGAAACTTGCATGGCAGTTCCTGACAGTAAGGCTCAGCAAGACATCCCAAGGAGGGCAAAAGACTGAAGGCAAAATAAGACACTAAACCACCTATACTAAGAGCTTTCTAAACGACCTGAGCATTTTAAAAACATCCTAGAATCGGAAAAGAAAAATCACATACATCTAAGGATGAACATAAATCATTACCAAAGAAATATGAATAGTCTTTTCCTCAGCTGCATATGCAAATCAAAAAAGGCTGAAAGCTGCTGGATGCGACAGATATTTGTCTTGCTTCAGCACAAGGAACGGGCTCCCTAGGTCCACATGCTACATTCTTCAGTAAAAAAGACAGTGCATGCAAGCGCGAAGAACTGCAAGCAATGATGACAATATTTATGGATCTGGAAACAGGAAAATCACTACTGGCTTTCAGAAGGACACTCAGGACGCGCTGCTAACAGCATACTAGAGCGTGAAGTACAAGCAGTATTTAGACTAAACTGCATGCCCCTAAACATGGTTTAAACTTTAATGTGAATCTAATTCAAAGCTTATCCCATTTAACAGTTTATGTTAATTTTTCAGATATGGAATTTTTAATTTTGCACTATGTGGTGACACAAGCTTCACCTCCAAAGCCGTGTAGGGGTAGGGCAGAGATCGCCTTGTGTAATTCCTGTCAGGATGCTACTGGGACAAGGTCAAAGCAGAGTGGCTGACAAGCAGGCTAAGGTGCACTGAAAAACAGGAGTTTCATTTTATGAGCTGAGAGGAGGGAGAAGATGGCATTTCAAAGCCAGGAGGGCGCAGAGGTCCACGGGACGAGGCTGCCCCAAGACCATCAACCAAAGAGGAGAACCCTGGGCTGAGCCAGGGTCACAGCAAAGCTCAGCTTTAGCTGGAACTGCCAGATCAAGCCAACCGGGAAGAAATGGAGACAGAAGTGCCTACAGACACAAAAATCAAAAACTTTCAAGTTCACGTTTCATGTGAACACATATGATGGCAACAAAGGATTGTCAGGTACTGAAACAGATACAATTGGACCAAAGCAAAATATGTAGACAGTGGAAACTGTGATAGCCGAAGATGGCCATGTATTATTTCTCATGAGGATTTGCCTCTTGATACTGTGGCTCAATATTAAAAAGCTACATTTTGCTTTATTTTTGATAACAAAGTGCATTTTCGATTGGCCAGGGGAAAGAGCAGTCTCAGCTTTATGCATTAGGACATCAAAAGCCTTCCACTAACGCCAAGAAGGCCCCTGGAGACATGCAGTATCAGTGTAATTAATGCTTTCTCACCAGAAATACCTGTTTCTAGTGTGTGGAAGTAGCATCAGTCTCTGGTCAGCACCAGTGGATGGCAGCATAATATCAGGAAATGAAAATGCTAATTATCATTTTAAGCATATTTCTAGCGGAATCTGAATTCCTGTGTAAGTTTTACCAGAGTGATCTCGCAATTAATTAGATGATTGTCCCTTTTGCCCCAAAAGAATGAGTTCAATTTAGTTTATTGTTTTTAATTTTCCACACCCTCAAATGAACAGACCTCTACATTAATGTTACAAATAGAAGTGAACTGAAATTGAAATATTCTCTTAACCTTCAGAAGCGATAACTAAGGGCATAACCTTCAGCTTGCCAGTGCTTACTGTGAGATGTATCTCCATATACGTAACAGCCAATCACAAATTGTGATTTAGAAACCTTTCTTTCACAGTGACAGTGACTGAATAAAAGAGCAGAGAACCTAATCAGTTTTCTAACTAAGTAGTTGTTGTTACCTAGAATTACGGCTGAAAAAGACGTTCTAGCACAATCTCCTCTGGCTGGTTCAGCTTACATATACCCTTACTCGGTAATTTTGAGAGCCTTTTGGAACACTTCCATTCACAGAAACTCACAGCCCTTTTCTGACAGTTTCTTCTGTTTTGCTTTATCAATTCAAGTGACAACTGAACAGAAAGTAATGCACAAGGTCAATGACCCTGCCCCTTGTAATGGAAGCTCATGCTTTCAACATTTATATGAAAGCAAGTATCTTTAACAGGAAACATTTCCCATTTCTGGCATTACCCAAATTTGTTTAAACAGCAACGTCACTCACTGATCGTTACCAAATCTTTACCGTAGCGGCAACTGACGGGCAGGGGGTTATGGTTCTGTTCTGGTAGCTCTCTTCATGTGGTACATGACCAAATCCTCAGTTTTGTAACTGCAATGCAGCTGGGGCAAACTTGCCTCTGCAACTTTCCAGAATAAACTGTTAACAACAGATAAGATACAAAGCTACTGTAGTTGTCTTTGTCTAACCCCTCTTATCAGGTTATTCATCCATGTCAGCGGCAGCCAGGTACAAACCGGGTGTGGTGTGTTCCCCTCTGGCGACCCGCTCCTTACTATTCCCTGTCACCCTAAGTGTCCCATATCTCAACTGCATACGTGAAAACCGTCTTCTTGGGTGCTTATAGCTCACGAGAAGAAAAAAAAAAAAAAAGCATTAGGAGACACCAGCACAAAAAATGCTTTTTATTTCAGCTATCCCCAATCTGTCCCCACCTCGATTTCCCTGATGTACTTGTTACCCATCGCATTAAGGCCTCGTCCGGCTTTCAGGACGTCTAA